CGCCGCGAGCGAACGCTTTGAGTACTGTACCAAGCTATCCAACAGCCATCCTTAAAAGTGAAAAATGAAAAGAAAATACATAAATACAGCAAAGTGATCTCAAATCCCAACACATAACTGTCAATCCATGACAACCCAATGGTCCGTATCACACCAATATACATAAACTATATATAATACGTATTTAGCAAATGGGCTGTATATCACCCGCGTTGAAGTAACAAAAATAGATTTTCTGTGAAAAAAACCGAACCCAAGTCAACTATCCTTTTCAATCACTTTAGTGAATGGTCTTGCAAGTGTTTCAAGGCCATGAAATGTTCCCACGACATAGAATTCAATATTGACTCCCAAGGTATCGGCTTGTCTAAAAGCCTTTCAAAACCGTGTCCCTCTGGTGCGTCTAATTATACGGCAACGTCTACGGTCAAGACAATACTCAGCACGTACCACGGGTCGGAGTTCTTTCTGCATGCATGACTTCATGACTAAACCAATATTGATTGGAAGGAGTAATTACCAATATCCTTTTATTCCTGCTAATCTTCGTGTTGCTGGGTTGGAAACACATCTGTTTAGTACTTAAATGAACCAGAAAACGACGTATTTCACAGGAATTGTTCAAACACACACGTCATTTTTACAAGGGTCCTCGGGTGCTTACCGACTGGAGCAAGGCATTTTGATGTTTTTTGGCATAAACGTCCTGTTTGACTAGTGTAAGAAACGTTATGCTAGAGTCAGCAATATTACAGCTATGCCACAACTGTCTGTCAATAATCGATTCCAGACAGAAGCAGTTGTTGATTGACCTGATCAACTTCCCGTGAAGTCAGGGTACATAGATTCTGCGGAACTAATGAAAATATCGACATTTAAGGTCACCAGATGGGACAACCATCTTACTTTATAAAAATAATCATGTTCTTTTTATTATGACCTTTCTTGTAGAATTTCTAAATAGTTATATAACACATTTATATTGGAGATACGTATAGCATTTCGTGCCTACCACTTTGTAACTCCCTGAAGCCAACTTTTAGATGACTGATCGATCTTTCAGGCGGCTCGAATTTATATGTGCATTCCCACGATGTAAAGATGACTCGTTACAGTGACTACGGTACTACAGTGTACATGTATGAAGCCTGCTTGAGGTTTGTAGTCATAAAGAACTGAAGGTACCTGTACATCAAAGAATTATATTGACCTGATTTGAAATTTTAACATTTTCTTGAAATTTGTATTGATAGTTGACAGAAATGCAACCTGAATTATAGAATTTTGTTTTAAATGTATGTAGGATTGAGCCACATGTTTTACAAAGGTTTAAGGCCACAACAGTATATTTGCGTATATGGAGTTACGCCCCTTAACCATTTCAGGATGCGCTTGTCGTTTTCGGAATAATAGATTTCGATTACGGAGCTTAATCTCTAAGCCTATTGAAAATAATGCGCGTTAAACTGCACACCATTGTCACTGAATTCATAGAAAGTCAACATTCTGCTGCGTAAAACAAACTCACTCAGTCTAAGCTCTTACCTATCTTCGAATTTATCATGTACGAGTAGGAGGCCGTGCAAAAAACGTGAATTAAGTTTAATAATTCGAATTCAACAAACAGAACATGTATCTCAAACCCCATTTATGGCTTTTATGATGGCATGATCAAACATGATTTACTTAAACACATATTTACTCAAACGGCTGTCGAAGATTTCACTTGTCAATCGATAAATAAAAAACTAAGTGTGTCTATAAATTCACTCCCTTTCCGTGGCAATAGTTTCCCTAATAAGACGAGTACTGTGTCCAAATGTTAGCTTACATCAATATCGTGGCATCTATTCCGTCTTTTTTATTACCTTCGTTGTAAGAAAGCATGATTTATTTATGTCTTGTCGGATTTACGTTTGTCATTTCCTCAAATCAAGCCTCGGTGGAGGCTCTCGTTACCAATCCTCATAATCCGTCTCTCGGTTCCAACTCCTGGTTTCAACATTACCCCTTGCCCGCAAAAAACACCTGGACGCTCGGGAGCATTGTGCCTCTCGGTATCGACTTCTGAAAAACAAGTCGACTGTCCGTTAATTCTCACTCGCGGAAATACACCTCGAGAGCAGTATTGTTGTTCCTGGTACCAAGTTGCCATGTTTTCCCTTCTAAATAGCAAGCAATTTTCCAAGCGTCTCATTATTCGCTACTCTAATTACAACCCAACCTTCCACGCGACCAAACCTCACAGGTCTGTGTGTAGACAGGACCTAGCAGCATCGACTCGTAGGTTCTTGGAGGTTCTATTCTTGGTTGAAATATGAGTATGCTTGACACATCTCTGATTAGTGTTTCTAGACATAGCATCAATATTAGCTAGTTTCGTTGTTTCAAGAATCGATTTTGTCCAAGAATTCCGTGAGTGATTACGATCTGCATGTTTTTATGACCGCATGTTTATGCAACGGGACTTTCTGTCAGAACTAAATTACAGAAATTCTTATCACATACCGTATCAAACTGCATCATATGTACTGGTGGTGTTGCCCAAAATAGCGTCCCTGGCTTCACCTGTTTAAAGATACCAATTTTACTTTTTCTATGTCATATTCTCTCTATCTCCTGTGGGGCTTAGCTGAGCGGTCTTGAAGCGATGGCTTCTCTGCATCCCGTCTGTTGCAGCTAAAGAGGCAGGCATGGTGCTTGTAGGCTTGGTGATCCCATTGAGAGAAAGCTGAAAATACTACCCATTTGTGCTTTGGGGGGAAGCATACGGTCGGGAGGAAAATATTATCAGTATCAGGGGTGAGCGGCGGTAGCTCAGGTGAAGATCTCAAGGCAAGCACTTTCTGCTGTGTACTTGACAGTGAGTTGTTCCAGATACCAGAAGTAGCCAAATAATGGGATACGTTTATTCGGATTTGGATTATGGGGTGTAAAAGACGCGTGTATCGTTCTATGGTGAGTGGGCCTTACGATGTTGAAATGATCTTTGTTTGGATTTAATTATTTTCATTGTTTAGTGTTTACATTTAATGTATCAGTATTTACTTTATTCATGCTTTGTTCATATTCTTGCATACAATGCTGAGCATGCTTGTTGTAGACATTGCATAAGGACACGTGGATATTGATCGACACGACGGTGCAAACTGAAATAACTACACACACCTCCACCACCATAACGTTATCTCTATCACTATCTCTGTTACTTCGTCACTACTACCATCACATTCACTATTTCCATCACTACCTTTACTTGACTCAGTCATTATTACTACCACAAGGACTACCACTACCAGATCACTACCTTTACTTGACTCAGTCATTATTACTGCCACAAGGACTACCACTACCAGATCACTACCAGTGTTTTCCACTGTAAACATCCGTTTTGTGGGACATACTCCATTGATCAGTTTATGTTATTTAATGTCGAAATGGATATAATTTTACTGAGGGAAAATACCTTAACTCCTAAGCATATTTTCCCACTATTACCCATAAAATGAGGCTTATTTGCCATCAGCACAAGCTACGAACGCTTTTATATTGTTAAGTACTGTATTTGCTCTGGTGCTTCAGCGAATCTTTTTCAAATCTGAAATACCCTTACTGCATGTCAACGTATTATTAATATGTACGGTTGACCTTCATTTATTGTCGTGATCTTTTACATATGTTTGCTGATTTAACTTCAACTAATCATTATTCAATATTCAACGCCAGAGAGCAACCAGTCTCGATTATGAGACAAATAATTTAAGACTGCCAAAATACTCAAGCCGAGTCGCAATCCAATGCGAAAGAACGACGTATTAATATTGTTGTTCGACTATAACATTGTGATAGCTTCAACTATTTAAGAAGCACTGTTATTAAGCTGTACGTACGAGCGTTTAGTATACATCAATGTCGTAATTTTCTTGATTTTACGTCAAGAGCCAAAAGTTTGAAATGTTAATACTACTAGTATATCATAATCTTTTTAATATCAATGACATAATTTGTTGTCTCCATAACCTCAACCGCCAGACGTGTATATTCAGATATGAAAACATCGTAGGTACGGATCTATTTTTTATGTCGTTATTTGCTCTGTTATGTTTACTTAATTATAATTACCGAAAACACAATTCTCGTTTATCATGTTTATTGCAGCAAAAAACATACTACAAAATCATTTACAATAATTCAGTGTCGTTATTGGTCTAGTCCTCTGCTAAACAATGTCAACAACGTGTTTATTGACATGCCGTACCGATCAATAACACCGTAACACTTACCCAGTATCAATATTGCCATGATATATCCTCATTAATAACCAACAATTGTATCAGTGTTACATCCCAACCTGCCAACGCTAAATGGGAGTCTCGCTGAACCGCCACCATTGCATATACCGTTATGTGGACTCGAGGTATAATCATGAGTTTAACATTGTCCGTGCGCTCCGGCTAAAAGCTTTATTGATATAATAACCTATCAATCAATTTTTCCATTACATATTACTCCTCGTCATGAATATGATGAATACCATGAGTTTCCACATCAGCTGAAAGGCACGTGTCGAGAATCAATGGTTTGATGTGATCTCTATTCATATATGGCGCGATTTGTTTTGTTATAAAAACATCCATCCGATGATGATATTTACATATCCATGGTGCCGGCATTTCTTTTCAACTCAGCCAAACTCGATTTAATTTTCCGTATTATAGTTTGCATGTTCATGGCGTAATGCATTTCAAGAAAGATCTAACGATCGCTACACCATTAATCAACTACACATAACAATCATGCTTAACCACATAACAGTGAGTGCGTCTATTTCTTAATTGAGCAGATTCACCAAAGCGAAACGTGGATATAAATTAATGCACATATTGACCTATGACACAGTCCCTGGAGATGTAAATAATTCAGTTGTTTTACGACAATGTTTGCGCCAGTTGTCGTCACATGGTACATACCGGTTTAGCAGGACGAAGGTTAAATTCGTCGCTACTAAGAGGTATTGGTGATGAATACTGTATGAGGATAATGATGGTCTCCCAACACCGTACAGCGTCGTCGTGCTCGACACAGTGTTGCTGCTGACGCTGCCGAGAGGTGTATCACACTCAAGGGGTCATGTTCACACAGGTGTACCCCGGGACCATTCCGCGGTCCCTCCCTGGCCCGAGTGATGTAAGTTTCACAAATTCGTTATTGATTTCCTTGTATGTGCGCTGTCGATTTCAACTTTACTGTGGTATATTTCATTATGTGATTGTAGTCTCCTGTTAACGGTGAATCACTTATTTATGAGACAGCGTTATAGTTGAAGGTTTTGGATCTTTGATATATCGGACAAGGAATCTCTCAAGGCGGGCTGTATGCCTGATCATGACCAATCAGAGATATTCGCCAACAATGACTGCATGATTCCCTCGGAATGATGTAAAATGAACCGTTATGCTAGTGTTGATGTATAGGATCGTTTTTAATCAATTTCACATTTCTGTATTATTGATCATTGCGTTGTCATAATTAGATTACCTTGTGCTGTTTTATTCATATGTCTCGAGTACTGTGAAATATATTCTTTGATGTTTTCAATTTTCATATAACACATGTCTTTTACGCAGTTAGTGTACATGAAATGATCGAGTGACATGGTAGAAAGTGATATAGAGGGCATGCATATTGCATGTGTATTGCATAGCTGTCACCAGAGGCTTTGATTGATTATGTCAGCACATAGCGTGTCTGTAACAGTACACGTTAGGCGCTACAGTGACAACGTGATGTAGTTGTCTCGAGATCAGGTGTTTCTCTGCAGGTGTTATGAGTGATAGTTAGTGGTTAGTACACCTGCTTGTCAGCTGACAGGGTCGAGGAACGGTGGGGTAGCCTAGTGGGTAAAGCGTTCGCTAGTCAATCGAAGATCCGGGTTTTCGATTCCGCACACGGGTACAATGTGTGAAGCCCATTTCTGGTGTCCCCACAGTAATATTGCTGAAATATTCCATAAAAACGGCGTAAAACCATACTCACTCACTAACTGGACCTGTTCGAATTCCGTTACATCACTGATGTTTCTCGCGACTTTCTCAGCGTATCAGAACGTATCAGATCTCGCGACTTTCTCATCGTATCAGAACGTATCAGATCTGTTTAGATGTTTTAAGAATATACATTCCTTTACAGTGATTTCTATGATGCCGATTTAGAAATGATTTATTTAATGTCATCTTTGTGAAATGCTCTCCCTTACATCTTCTTCTCGAGAACCATCTTGCAGAATGACATTTGCATTTGATGTAAATAAGCCATTAAAACCTTTCTACAATCAGAAGAAAGCTCTCTTAACTGCAGAATCCGTTTTACGATGTCGACTGTATCATATTATAAACACGTGTTTGTGAATCACTATCAGATAGTGTTGACACCTGGTGCTACATTTAGGTCAACCCTGGTGTCAACAGGGGCGGTGGGGTAGCCTAGTGGTTAAAGCGTTCGCTTTTACCGCCGAAGACCCGGGTTCGATTCCCCACATGGGTACAATGGTCGAAGCCCATTTCTGGTGTCCTCCGCCGTGATATTGCTGGAATATTGCTAAAAGCGGCTTAAAACTAAACTCTCTGGTGTCAACAATGATATAATGCATAACGTATTTAATCCATGCTGTTTCATACACTGAAAACCGTTAACCAGCGTCAGTTCAAATGGTCTGGATTAATACATGTCCTGATTAACGAATTACAGGTATAGCATTGACTTTTGTATACATGTACACGTTCCAGTATGAAACGCCAGTAAGACAGAGATTCCGGACTTCAAAGGGTTAACTAAATATCATTTAACATTCTTTCACTTTTATGCCTCAGACATTTAGAATTTCCCCGATTACTCAATAATTAAAGCCTGTTGCTAAGGATTCGCAATGCGTAACATATAAACGGATATTTTATTATCTTACAAGATTGAAACAGCAAATTTACGAGTTTGATTTCCCGATGAACGTAAATACCGACGCCATACAGTAGCTGTTTTTAAATTCGAGCCTTGTTCATGATCAAACGCTACGGGCGATACGGTCTGTTGATGGAAATTTTCCTAATTCAAATAGCTTAATTGCCTAACACGTCTCTTCATTTGACCAATCCATAGTGTCCTTACGTAATACAGGTAATCTATATATTTTAACAACCGAACACTATTTGCTGTTGACATGCACCTATTTGTCTCTAGCTTTTTCATTTATTAATGATCTTTGTTTTCTATACTGTTTGTTGATTGAGTTGTTGCTTTGATTACCAGTGCATGAATCGAGGAATTGATCGGCAGTCTAAGCACCATATCCACATTTGTTTATGAGAACTAATATAAAAACACCGTGGTTCATTTTGAAATGGATATTTTTCACACGTTAATGTCAACATACCTGAATTAGTTGGCTTTCTGTCTGGAATGCAAACAAATGCGTCCATCCGTTTCTTTATAACGGTATAATTATATTGTAATCTGATGAATGAGACAGCTTGAATGTCGCTTTGCTCCGATTGTTCTGTTCTGTTCTCCGATGCGAATTGGATGAACTAGCGATTATAAAAATACAATGGACAAATGCATTTACAGTGGAGTCTGTCAAACCTGGACTATGTCTATACCGGACTAATAATATTAACTTACTCCGTTTAGAAGTTAAATCTGTCTAATCCGCTCTGTTTTATACCTGAATGAGGTGAGGTGAGGTGAAACTGGGTTTAACGTCGTGCTTGAGAATATTTCGCTCATATGACGACGTGCATGCGTGTGTATGTGTATGTGCGGCTGCTTGTACTAGCCCAGACTGAAGCTGGTTTTATAATGCTAGCCCACTGAGATACCATGCCGCAGTGAAGCCTGAATACCCCACTCAGACACATTATACTGACTCCGAGCCGACCAGTCCTTATTGTACCCATTAATGCCGAGCGCCAGGCAGGGACCAACAAGTACCATATTTTAACGTCTTTTGGTATGACGCGGTCGGGGATCGAACCCGCGACCTTCCGCTCTCCGGGCGGACTCTCTAACCACTACACCACGGAGGCGGTCTATACCTGAATGAAAGTATGCCTGTTAAAAGACGTCAGGTTGAGGTATGCATACTTTAATGACAGGCGTATATAGATGCGATGTTGCGTCTATAAATATCATTCACTCCCTCAAGTCAGGGAGGTGCTTCCACTTCCTCTGTAGTCTTCAGTACCCGATGCTTGTCGTAAGAGGTGACTAACGGGACCGGCAGGTAGATCGATGCTCATGCTGTTGATCACCGGATTGGCTGGCCCAGACTCGTTTTTAACAGACCCCCGTCATGGGGCTGAAATATTGCTTTGTGCGGCGTTAAACAACAAACAAACAAACAAAACTTCCTGTGAAATGATTTGGACTCCGCAATATTCTCTTCAGTGTTCCAATCCAAAACTTCAGGTTTCAACGTCGGAACCGTCGCCGTGAGTTACGTCAACGTTGACGACACACTATACGTTATATATGCCAGCATATGAAGCTGACACGTCACGTTGTGACAAAGTACTACCACAAGTACCTTTAAACCAACTCATTCTTTCAGGATGAATACAAATTCACTCACTCACCCAAGAGATACTACCACAGCGACAGTCATATTCCAATACCCGAACGCATCCCAACGTTGTTCTAAGCATAAATCGGGGCGGTGGGAGCCTAGTGGTTAAAGCGTTCGCTCGTCACGCCGAAGACCCGGGTTGGATTCCCAACATGGGTACAATATGTGAAGCCCATTTCTGGTGTCCCCCACCGTGATATTGCTGGAATATTGCTAAAAGTGGCGTAAAACTAAACTCACTCACTCTAAGCATAAATCATATTCAAGCATGAGGGCCCTCATCTGATGGTAAATGTCTCAGGAACGCCTCTTCCTGAACCAGACAGCAATGAATTGTGACTATGTTCGAGCACTTCGTACAATTATTACATCTCATAAGTAACACAGAAAATATCTGTTTACAATTCCTCCTGTCATAATAGCACCTGACAAACAATAACAAATACACAGTACAGACACGCATCCCTGTCGGGTTTGAGTGGTAATCTCCCAAAGTGTTTCTACTTTTGCTCTGATGTAAGACCTTCAAAGACCCCAATCATGACAAACATCATAGCGGTAACCCTGTAAACGTTTTTCCCCATATCCTACTGCTTCCATGATTATTCCTTCTATCCAAACCCGTTATGTTATCAGACCTTAGACAGACTCATTACAGATCTGAATGTTCAAGAGTTCCTCCTATTGTCCATGCGTGTCTGTACATCCTTCAGACTGACGCAAGACTCTCGTCTCTGTTCTCTGGGCAACGTTCAACGTCGGGCGGTGTAATTACTATCGACACTAAGAACATGCTCGCTGTTATGCAGATAACACAGTTACATGTTTTGCCGAATACCTTTGGGTTCATGCTTAATGAAACATCCACGGTATGCACTGTGCTAAAATGATTGGCAACAGAATTGGTAGTTTGGCATTATGTAATGTACAGTGCAGATACTTTTTCCAGTGGTGTATGTACGGTCTGCAAAGTACTTAAATGACATACAGACTGACAATGGTTTACAGTATTGGTAATTGTACTAAGTAGAAACACTTTTTGTAGTTCCGGGTTAGAATTGTTCCCAGAAGGCAATGTTCTGACCAATGTCGGATTGGACCAGGATTAGATCGGTGACATGAATGCGGATTATTGGATCATGCGGATCATGACAAACAGTGTGATTCATTGGTTTTCGGATCCAACCTAAAATATTAATACCCCGCCGACATATTGCTGGAGTATTGCAGAGTGCAGCGTTAAAATATTGATATAAGCAATCAGACGTATACTTAGTGGACTGACAGTTCAAACTGATCTTCTTCACAAAAATGTCATATTCGTGAGTGAGTTTTACGTCGCTTTTAGCAATTTTCCAGCATATCACGGCGGGGTCACCAGAAATGGGATTCACACAATGTACTCATGTGGGGAATCGAACCCGGGTCTTCGGCGTGACGAGCGAACGCTTTAACCACCCCACCGCCCCGCTGATGTAAAGAAAGCACACTGGAACATGAATATCACATGGACTTACATATTTACCTAGTACAGTATTTACCTATTACAGTATTTTCCTTGTACATAGTA